TAATTTTATAAATATAATAAATTTATAAAGTAATTTTTAACCGAAATGTCAAAAAAATTCCGAGAAATGAAAGAATAACACTTACTTTTAAATGTCGAACACATAATGAGTCGTTACTAGAATTTCTTTGTATATTTCATACTAATTTTGTCCAACTTATTAAAGTATTAAAAAAAACCGACCGCAAACATAATTATTTGAAAAGAATGGCGTACGTTGCTACCTATTGTCAAAATTATTATTACCACACTCTTGGATTCTTTTAATATTTTGAATATGTGAACTATTTTTCATGAAGCTACAAGTAGTTCATCATACCGATTTTAAAATATGCTTGATTTTTTGGAAGGAATTATTTCCAAGTATTAAAAGTATTTAAATGCAATATCCAAATATTTTTTTGATTTGTTTTGTAGTACCTATTTAATTTTCTACATTTACTTAAGTATGTCTTTTCTAGACTAATAGTGGTGTTTGAACTATATCACCAGGTGCGAAGATTAGGTATGATTTATATTTTTCTGTTTGAGGTGATTGAGATTTAGTTTTTCTGTCTTTATGTTGTAGTTTCTTAAGTTCAGCAACAAATAATTCTTCTATATGCTTCCTTATTTGCCTTTGTCATACGTTTTAATTGGAAAAAAGACACTGATGCCAAAATAGTTTGTTTACCGTGAAAGATCAGAGTCAAGATACGGTTGTAAATAACTTTATTAATGTAAAATCAACATCAATCATTTTATATCAGAATACTTACAACCCCTTTTTGTTTCTGATCTTTTACACACTGTAATAAGAGAAAGAAATGGAATCCGTAGTTTCTTTAATAAGTGAAGTTTTTCTAATCATTTTCTAAGAAATTTGGATTATATGCATTTATTAGCATACCATAATCTTGTAGTTATCAGTTTCGCACAGTTTTGCGGACTGTTTTGTCGTAATTCATAGAACTGTGTAGTTCCTTGCTAAAGGTAGAATAAGTGGTGATTTGGCAGGTGCTGATATCAATTTGGAACTTCAAAATTCCATGAACCATGACATTAACCCGGAAAGCAAATCTATCCAATATTTTAGATTATCTTCATAATAATATGATATACGTTTTATTATAAAAGCGTAAAAATTTAATGGCGTATATGGTCACATTGAACCTTTGCAAACAGCAACAGTTCCTTTAGTTTACGTTTTTGTTACTTTTGTCATTAAGTAAATCTGAATTGAATCGAAAGCTAAAACTAACGTCAGATTGGACTCAATGAATCTAGATACTACTTGTACTAAGGGTATTAATAACATCATCATCATAAGGTCGTCAGTCCTAAGACTGGTTGGACAGGCACCTCCACTCCTTCCTATCCTGAGCTAATCTTCGCATTTCCCTAAAATTAGAACATCCCACATCCTTAACTATTTGCGAACAGTAATCTAATCTAGGTCTACCTCTACCCCTCCTAATTCCTGTTTCTGCTTCTAATAGGTATGACCCTGTATTACTACATGTTATAAAATCATAAGAAAGTAAGCAAACATCTGTAGTTTAGGAATTTATAATCAAGAAATAACGCGAACGTCGGTTTGGCGCAATCGCCCGATCGCTAGTCTTTTAACTGGGATAATGCCCAAAAAATATTTTCATTTCTTTTTAATAGCTTTCTCTCTCCGATATACCTCTGTTTTGTAACCAAAAATAAGAAAATCTAACCACCCTTACCCTAAATATGGTTGCATATTGCTTGAATAATATTTTAACAAAGTTTTTCTAATGGGATTCTTTGATATGTTTTAATCACCTTGGTCTGTTACATTTCATTAGAATATGAATACATGTTCAATAGATAGAAAAGCAGACTGTAGCTTGGGAATAATAAAATAAAATAACTAAAAGGACTTCAGTTGAAGATGCTCATAATGTGAATGAGCGCAACACGTGTCCGTAGTTTTTGAAATAGTTGTGGTTAATGGGGAGAGTCCTTTTGTTTGTTTTATGAATACATGTGAGAATCCGAGAGGATGTGGAGATTCGAAAACTTAGTGCTCTGTTCACCTTTTAAAGGGTATGGTACGTTTGTGCAAAAACAACAAGTGACAGTCGAGATGCAGTTAGATGCCAATGTCTGCAAATATTGGTCGCAAGATGTCAACACGGTAGCGGGTGACACAGGCGGCTAATATATGTTCACTGATACAGCACGCCAACAGGTCCGACTTAAGGAAAATGTTAATTCTTGAGTCAATAATTTATTAACAAACGCTTTTTCTTCATATGACCCTGCAGACTTATTGTTTTATTCGGGTGAAGCACAGCACAATATTCAAGACTGATGTACATTTCAATATTACTTTGGACTTCAAAAAATTGGAGAGAAACTTGTTCTAAAAGATTCATCTGTATAAACACTAAAAGCAAGAGAGAATGTATCGGTATACCGCATATTTTTTTAGGGACAAGTTAGCATTCTGCTGTTTTGGTTTCGATTTTCTTGATTGGTCTCGTAGTGTTCATACTAACGAGACTAATTTTTGGTTACGTGAAGTCATGAGAATTATTATGAGAATTTATGTTATGCATTTTATGACTTTCAATTTTGAGTTACATTTCTTTACGAAATCGTTGACATCGATATGCTTTAAAGGGCTAAAATTTTATTGTCGTATGATGCTATTACAACTTGGAAGATCTTGTATTGATTACCATGAAGAAGATTTAAATTCAATATTACCTACGTCGATTAAACCTTTGTTTGAACGAAACTTTAAGAATCAAAAGGGAAAGAAATTTTTACTAAGGAGTTGATAGGTTACTCAACTGAAAAGGACCTCGCTAGATCCTTACGGAAAATGACCCTCTATTAAACTCTTTGAAACTTTGGATTCCGATAATTCTCTACATGTAGATCGAAAGTTTCAATGACTGCTATGCCGTAAAAACTCATCTTTTTGAGGGACCATCCCCTAAAGTTGCATTCTTCCATAATAACTTCCAGAGTTTTGCCATTTTATTATTTTTTTATTTGAATTTTTGGTACTAAATTTGTCCTAATTCTAACTGCGTCTTGATGAAATCCTTAGGACGAATCATGGTGGCGTCAAAAATGTTCACACCATAGTCCTTCATTGGAATTTCATCAAGAATACGCAGGCAGATTTCGGAAATCCATTTTTTTATTACAGTTTACTATTTTGTATATACTAGTAGTATAGGTAATACCTATAAATTTTTGAAGTACTATCGGGTACGGTCCTGCACAGTCGTCGGCTTCTCTTTATGCAGTCGTACGCGGAATGCAATTGCAGGCAAACATAACTTGCGACCTGTCATCTGACCACGCACTATCTACATCCACATGTTTACAGCACATACATATTCTTATTGGTACGTAGGTACCTACGGGTACGTTTTAAAATACATCAGAGACGGTTATTTACTTCTATAGGTCTCAAGAGTGTCGTCTCTCCCTCCGTTTGCATGTGTGCATGTGTGGGATCACCTTGGCGACAATTAAGTTCAAAGATTCTTTTAATTATTATTCAACCCACTATCTGATAAATATTAATGGTGCAGTGGTAGGTACCGAATGGAATTTTATTTTAGGTTGATTGAAAATTTAGTTGCCATTTTAATTACCTATACCAACCGTCTAAACAACCAAAGGTCGCATCGATAAATACTTAAATGGTAAGTAGAAATTATTTATACATTGGTTCTTATTCTAACTGCATGTAAAATCGACGTTCGTAAAAGCAAAATCAGGATCACACTAGAAGCCAAACTTCAAAACAACCCCAAATCGCAATAAGAGCATATTATTTTACTGAAATAAGAAACCGTATTGCAGTATTCACCTGATATTAAGTCTTTCTTTATATGTGTACAAAAATCCTGATCTTGTGCGCTTTACAGCTCTAGCGGCGTAAAATTTTCTTGTTGTGTTCATGCATACAAAACAAGCAGCATTCGAGCTTCCTGAGCCCTGAGTCCAGACGCGATAAGGAAAACAACAGTGCCGATTCCAAAGTTCTGGTGAAAGGTACTATTTTTTACTCTTTGTGTTTTTACGGAATTTTAAAGCAAAGGCAACCATGCAATTTTCTAGAGCAGCACCTTCGCTGTTCGTTAACATCGAGTTTAATAAATAACTACAGGCAGTACAATAAACGCCACCTGTAGAGAATTGTCTCTAATCATGGGTTCATTAATATTTACCAAGATTAATAATAATAACAATAATTTTTAATCTTTATCCCATCCTTGCATTTGGTTTTTTTTAAAGATTTTACGTTGTTTTTTTCGGAATGATTCGATGGGATTTAATTCGCCTATTTACTTAACACCATGTAGTTTTAAGCGGGTTGTTTCTTCATCACTGATGATGACGCTTTGGTGTAAAAGAACAAGAAGTGATGTTATTTAGATTGTATCTCCGCCTTTAGTTTCCGGTCGATTCTGTTTTGCACTTTCTAACTTTACGCTTGGCTTGTCTTAATGGCATGCTAATTTGGGGTTTACGATAGTTCTTCATCCATTCCAACGCCTCTAATCGATCACATTTACTTACTATTTCGAATGTGGCATTAAAACCGCCTTGTCTTCGTTAAAGTAAAACTACATAAGGAAAATGTTAATATTTACAACAGAACGAACGATGATGTTTCGTTTTATCCTCTATATCTGAAAAGTATATATTTATATCTAAAAATTTTTCAATAAATACGTAATTAAATATAGGATGTAGTGGATATGTCTATTTGTCTACTTTATATCGTTTTTCTGTATACCGAAAATGCTATTAATATTATTAAACACAAGACGGCTTTTTGAAAAAAATATTTAAGAACATACACAGTTTCAAGAATAAAATGGAAATTGCATTAACAGAAGAGTATATGATATACGAGGGTGGATTGATAAGTTTCCGGCCTAACCAAGAGATGACGCCACTAGGCCTACCTTGAGGTGACATTCTATAGTACCATCCTTGGATAGCTTGTAGCTATAGTTTCAGCCCGATCTCCT